CACAGCGGCAGAAGGTGTCAGCTGAGACTTCTCATCAATCTCTGATGTATTCTCTTCACCCCTCCAACTGTCAGCAGGCCGTTTCACACTTTTATCTCCGACACCGGGGCTTCAGCACTGACATCTTCTACTGAGGAGGTGAGATGCAAAGGCAACACTTTCTTTTTAAAATATGGGGACACGTGCAAGAAAAAACCCAGTAGATTCTTGAATTTTAATGTTGGATGACGATGCTGATGCTGATGGTGATGGTGAGGGGGTGGGGGGCATTTACATCAGGACAACAGGAGGGAGGATCTGCTCTCATTCATTTTTCACTTTCATTTATATTAAATTATTTAAGAGCCATGTTGCACTGCGTCTTTGACACAGCACGGGGCCCTCGTGTTCATAAGACACTTAAACACCAACAGAGGGACACACACACACACACACACACGCACAACACATACGCACAACCATGGCAGCATATGCACGCACAATATTCATAAATTCAGAACATTGTACATACGTACACTCACTGTTATGTATACAGACACACATGCATTATCCCAGGGGAGCTGATTAGGGTAAGATTTGCCCTGCAACCTGCCCCCCCCCCCCCCCCCCCCCCCACACACACACACACGCCTCCCGCTCTGACAGACAGAGCACGCGGTCCTCCCTGGACTTCTCTTGTGTTGACCCATTTGCTTTGAGAACATCCCATGGAGTATATTGGAAAAAGAGACCTGACTATCGCAACATAGAAAATAGACAGACATGCATGCATTTGTGGCAATGTCATTGTAAGGCATGGTAAAGAACAATGTGCACACATTTAGCTCACTAGTATTCCATTCTACAGCTTGTGTTCTGAACAACATCCGTGCTTAAAATGTACCTTACACTTTCCTCGCTAGTGGCCCCAAATTGTAGAAAGAAGACTTGGATCTATATAACTACCAGTGTGATAAAGACTTTTGGACTTTTCACCACATCCAACACATTCTCACTCCCAATTCGTACTGACGCTTGGTCAGTGGGCCTAAGCTTCATACTGTGACGCCTAGGCTCCCTCTAGTGTCAGTTTTGGATGTGTCAGCGATGGCCAGTCCGTTTTCACTCGTTACATTTAGGCAACAAAACCACTTAGTTAAGGTTTAGGAAAAGAGTGTGGTTGTCGTTAACTTGACACGTGACTAGAGCGACAAACCAGTCACGTGACTAGCAACTCACGACTCGTGGAAGAAAAACTGTCGATTACCTTTATTTTTGCACAGTACATGATCGGATGTGTCCTGGGTGAAGGTCCTGTGTTTGTTTGACCCTTCCACCACCCATTCCACCCGCCCTGTGTGAACTATCGTTCACTTTTTACCATGCAGCTGCTCCCAGCATCTAATAATGAAGCTGGTAGCTTTACATTGGAGTTAGTTGAAAGTGTGGTGCATAGGCGTCAGTCAGTATTGACGAGTTGGGATTGAGACATGGGGTTGATGCATCCTGTACTCATTTGGGCTTTTTTTCATCGCAGACATTTTGTCATCTCACAAAAGGAAAAGCACAAATAAATAATAACTGAATTCAATATAGTTTACCACTTATAGGACCTGGTATCGTGCATGCTGGCTCACTGGAATGGGCGACTGGGGGACACTTTGATTTTATTAGTTAAACCTGTTAACTGCCGTTCAGTTTTTTTTTTATTTTTTAAGATTTCAGACACTTTTTGATCACCAACATTTGCGTCATCGCTGACAGGTGTGGAATCTAATAACTGTGGAAGACTGGTGCATTTTTACATCAAATTTCACAAGGTAACAAAAACAAACCAGCACCACCAAAATCTCGTCTTTGTCTCAGACACATTGTGAAGCTGTGATGTCTGCTGCTTGGCCCAGATACATCACACTGTCTGGATACAGCATAGCAACAAAGCATCTGATCAAAGAGGATAGAAGAGGGGAATAAAACGAGGGAAACAGAATAAGGACTGAAGAAACACAGACACAAAAACAAGGGGAGTCACAGAGGGAAATAGGAAGGAGATTAATCGATGGAGAAGGATGTTTAAAAGAGCAGTAAAAGAAAGATGGAGGTCAAGTGATGATGCAAGATGATGCTGCGGGGGGAGTTCTTCTGCAGGAAACCAATATTTCGTGGAGACGAACCAAATCGGGGCTCTGTTCTTTTGTCTTATCTCAGTGAGAAATTAGAAATATCCTCCCCACATCAATGAAATAAACTTAAAACCTTTTTGGGTACTGTCCAACAAGCACACGGCCGCATTTTTTAGCAGCAGGGCCGGAGTCTTGAAGAGTTTCAGAAGGAGTGTGTTTGGTGCTGATTACATGAAGGGGGATAATAACATGCTGGAATGTCTAACGTGGCGCAAAAAGCCACAAGAAGCGAGACAGCAATTTATCTCCAATCCCAACACCAGAGCCAGTAGTGCAGAGAGAAAACACCGCTAATCAACTGTTCACATTTCAACACATTCCAAAAGTGGACATAAAAATAAACAGGATTCTCTCCTCTCCATGATTTTCTTTTAAAACATGATACAACACTCATGTGTGGGCAGTGGGTCATTTTATTTTCTCTCACTGGTGATTTTGTTCTTTGTTTTTGGCAGATCAGGAGCACAATCTTGATTTCAAATGGGGGGGCAAAGCACAAAAGCATGTTTTTCATAATTTGGATGATGATGGTTGTAACAAAAATATTTTATACAGCAAAATACGGCAAATAGTGATGAAATTGATCAATATATTGACTCACCCCATTGGTAAAAAAGTGCAGAATAAAACCGATGGTGTTGGTATTTATCTCATGTCATGTTTCACCTATTGATTGTATTTAGTTCAGATTTGCGCTAATAGTGCCCTGATATCTGCCCTCAAAGTGATATAAATATATCAAAATATATATTTACTATAAAACCAGAGCCTCAAGGAAGTTGTCATAGGTGAAAATTTCACACAGACACCTTTGTGAAAGAAAGGTATATGATGGTATGTTGGCACAGTTCAGTTCATCACATTAATTAAGAATTTAACCGTAACCCTAAACTGGCAAGGAAGAACCCCGTGTCATAAAAACATGTCATAATATAGTATGCCATAGAAAATGCCATTAAAAAGTCAACATGTCATCAGAATGTCATATAAGGTATCATAATATAGCATCAAATAAAAATATCTTAAAAATATGGAGTCTCATATGTCATTAAAAATGTCATAAAAAGACGATATTTTGCCATAAAAATGTCATTAGATTTATCTTAGCAGAGTATTCCATAAAAGTCATAATGTAGTTTACCATAAAAGGGTCATAACAAATGTTATGCCATTATAGTATGCCAATACAATTATTATAGTACAGTTTGCTATAAATATATCAAAGAATATCTGAAATATATGATAGTCGTATGCCATAAAATGTCCTAAAATATCATAATATTGTATGCCATTAAAATATAACAATATCATAGTGTAGTTTGGCATTAAATAATTCATGATGTAGCATGCCATGAAAAGTCATTGTACAGTTTGCCATAAGAATTATAAAAAAATGTCCAAGTATCTGCAATAACAATTACAAAAAACATCATAGAATAGTATGCCATGAAGATATAATTATTAGAAAAAAGTCATAGTATGGTATGCTATAAACACGCTGCTGAGAACAAGTTCAAAGATTACTGTAATCATACATGAAGAGCAGGTTATGTGCAGAGTCTGATCCAGCACAATGTTACAGATCTGTACTGTCTTCATTCTTAAGATGTTGGAGTGGAGGTGGTGTTATGGCATTGTGCAGCATTTCGTGACTTTTATCCACTCAACATGTGCAGTAGCTGTCACATTTTCCCTTTTGAGTGTCCTGTCTGTGTCACAGCTGAGTACTACCCTCTAGTGGAAAGTTTATGTACATGCACCTGGAAACACAAGACCATTTGCATCACTAATTCTGCAGATTGTATCAAATAACAAATGCTGCAGATTGTATCTATCATGTATCGGTATCATTGGGCAGAGTGACATGTTTTTGGAAAACATAAAAGGATATGTTAAACAAATGATCAAGGAAGGACACTTAACCATTGCATCCAGCTGTGACAACCATGATATAGTGTATTGGAAAAATTGAATTTCATGTAATTCAGGTTACACAAGAGACAGGCATCATCCTCCACTAGAACTTCTGGCACTGCAAAACTTCTAGTCTGCTGTGTCAGAAGCAAATTGACAATTGTTGTGCTCTCTGGTCAGGTTAAAGCTTATTTTGTGCTCTGGTCTCTGTATTGATGATGTTGTATCTTCCTAGTTTTGCTAAGCCTGAAATTGGACATGACCATTTCTGATATAATAATATTTGGAATTATCTCAAACTCCATAGAATTGTGTATTGATTGTATATGAATGTATTGAAGATAAGACTGACCAATTATTAGTTGCTTGTCCAGAATCAAATGTCCAGCTGCAATTCAGTCCAGGTTGTGTGTGTAATTACATGTAGCCTCATGCTGTTTTAAGTCTCAAACACTTCTGTACAAGTATGAAATTACATATATATGTTATGGCTATTTTGTGTTAAAGTGTTATGTGATTTTTCCTAATGTAAGTTTTGCTATTGAAGATGGCATAATACTACTTTTTCAAATGTTGATTTCCTAGAAACAAGAGACGCACTCGAACATCTGGTTGGGTGTGTCGATTGCAGTGCTGTTAATGTCTTCTTGCATTTATCATTGGCATCATCGAAATATAACAATCTATTAAAAAGCTAGAATGCCAAAGGCCATTATAATAATGACAGCTATTTCATAATGTTGCCATGTCCTTGTTTACTTTGGCTGAACCATTCACCTACGGGTGGGTCTGTGTGGTGATAGTGGCTCCAGTTAATATTGCCCAATCAGAGGCCAATTTACTTCCCGGGGGCCCGCCTTTGCACGGTAACCATTGGTTGAATTTTAATGAGCAGTGGTGTTATGGGCGGAGTCTGTGGCTCTACGGTGTCCAGCGGTCAACGTTACGTGATAACCAGCACCTGGATCCGGGAGGAAAGAAGAGACGAGCAGCCTGCCTCCCTCCTCTGTCTGTCTGTATCTACGGGTGAGTAAGCTACGCTATATTAATCATTATGATGCGGTTTAATGTGTGTTTAACGTCACTTCAAACGTTATGCTATTTAGGTAGCACGGTTTAGGATACAAAGGATATTGAACGTTTAACTCCACCATAGTTATTCGAGGTAGTTCGTGGCAATGAAGTGGCAGAGAAAAGGGCGCGTGCCAGAGACAACAAGTGCTAAAACTCATCTTATCGAACACAAAAAAAGACTGAAAGGCTTCGTTTTTGTTGACGTTATGCAACGGTGGGTTGGCCCCCCCCCCGCTCTATTTCATCTGTCAAGCTGCTGGAACTAACCTGGGACTATACATGTAGGACAGAACAGGCATTGTTATATTGTTTGTGTAACGTTAGCTTTTGTGGGCATAGCCTACTGCAATTCCAGCATACCTGGCATTACCTTTGCTCCACAAGTGTGTTAGGTGTGTGTTAGGTGTGTGTTAAGTGTGTGTGTGTGTGTGTGTGTGTGTGTGTGGTGTGTGTGTGTGTGTGTGTGTGTGTGTGTGTGTGTGTGTGTTTTAATCTCATCATTTATAAATGATTGGCTTGTGAAACTGCGCTGCATGTTTTCGACCTGTCATAACACATTCACTTTAAAAGGTTGCACACTAAAGGACACAGAATCTGTGAGAAAAAAAAAGAAGATAACTCACTTTGACCCACTTTCATATCAAAATGTCACTGGTGCCATTTAAATTGTATATTTGATGAATTCCACTTCGTGCAGCCGTGACTTTAAACAACAGTGTGCAAAGTACACCATGCCGCTGCATAAGCAATCCTGATCATTGACCCTTCACCAGAAATGAGCGGCACCGTGGCCATGGAGGCCTCAAGGAGACGAACCCAGCACAGCGCCAATGGGAAAGCATCTGAACAGGGGGAGCAGCCGGCACAGTGGGGGAGAGCATGGTGAGTATCATACTTGTAATAAACAATGTAATCTATTTCTCTTCCTATCTCAAATAATGGCCTTGAGAGAGCAAACGCAGACGCTCACGTTCACACCTAGTCTGTGGGAGGAAGCCGGAGAACCTGGAGGGAACCCACACGGATACGGGGAAAACATGCAAACTCCACACATAAGGCCCGTCTAGCCCAGGAATCGACACACCACCCACATTGTAATATACAGTGCATAATTGCATCCTTCACTTGAAGTTGATGTTTTTTTTTTCTTTTAAATCTGACAACACAGGGGTTTAAGTTAGAAGATGCACCGATTCGTATGGTATATTAAAAAAAATAAGGAGGCACAGTTCATTGTTCCAAATTGTTCAGTCTGAGAAATGACTCGGTAACAGGTCTTCAATATTTCAAAAATAGTAAGTTTGAGATATGGAATAGACATATCGGCTGTCAACACATTCATGCATGTTTTACAGTCCTACATGGAAATAACAAAATACATTTTCATTCTTAAGGAATTTATTGTCAATACAAACCATCATTTGTATGTTCAATTAATGATGTGCTCTTCTAACACTTAATTTGACTTTCTGGTAACATTTGAAACATTAGGACCTCTCACAGTATACACTTATGGAACAAACATGAGCTCATGTGACTAATTTGTTCTCAAGGTTTATAAAACACACGATGTCACGCCTTGGATCTGCTCGGCCACGTTAGAGCCGCCCTCACACTGTTTCTGTGCTCATATCTGACTCATCCTCAGGGAGGTGGACTGGTTCTCCCTGATCAGCGTGATCGGCCTCCTCTGCTTCGCCCCCTTCATCGTCTTCTACTTTGTGATGGCCTGCGACCAGTACCAGTGCTCCGTCAGCCAGCCCCTGTTGGAGTTGTTCCGAGGAGAGACCACGCTGCTGTCCATCTGGGCCCGGGCACCCTCATTCACCTGGTCAGCTGCCAAGATATACGCCATCTGGGTGGCCTTCCAGGTAAGAGGAAGAAGAGTAAAGAGGAAGAAATTGAGGGGGGGCTGCAACTGGCAGAAACTGTCTATCTTCAGCTCTTGCTGTTGCCTCGTCCCTCAGGTGTTCCTGTATATGTGTGTTCCTGATGTGACCCATAAGTTTATTCCTGGCTACATCGGTGGAGTGCAGGACGGAGCACGAACTCCTGCTGGTAATTAACACACACACACACACACACACACACACACACACACACACTTTTGATCCCTATTTAAAACACTTATTGTTTCACATTCATTACCGAACCAGATATTATCTCTCACAGTTCGACCCCCCCCCCCCCCCGTCGTCTCCCCGTTCTCCACCGCAGGCCTGATTAACAAGTACGAGATCAACGGGCTGCAGTGTTGGCTAATCACTCACGCTCTGTGGTACGCCAACGCCCAACATTTCCACTGGTTCTCTCCCACCATCGCCTTCGACAACTGGATCCCCCTGATGTGGTGCGCTAACATACTGGGCTACGCCGTGTCCAGCTTCGCTTTCATTAAAGCCTACCTCTTCCCCACCAACTCTGAAGACTGGTGAGTGCTGATGCACATGTTCAAGGATTCAAGGACCATTGATTGTCTTTATGCAACACAGGGATGCACAACACAATGCAGTTGTAGCCCAATTGTAAAACAACAAACGCATGACAAACAAACCAAGTAGCGCATTCCTGTAATGAATTTTTGGAATTTGTATCATAAGGAATGTAAACAGCAGCAACAAAAACAGTCCTCTGGGCAGATAATATGGCCGACATCTTCACATTAAAAACATTGTCCATCAACTTTCAATATGTTGGTGCACCAAGCATCATGACGTAAACACACAGTCCCCATCCTTTCGTCCCACCGGAGTCCTGCTGTCCGCCCGTCAAGTTCAGCTTGATCCGGGATGAACATTGGAGCCGGGTCTCTGAGAGGATGTGGGCTCAACAGTCACCGACCTACGTTGCTTCGCCGGTAGTCTTGTCTTGTCCATCTTATTTTCCTGTGACTAGGCTGGGTAGTGGAGTAGCCTTGGGTCTTAGCTGGGTTAGCTTAGCTTCCCTTCCGGCTCCCCTCCCTGGAGCAGCTTGGTGGCGTTTGGTCCGGCAGGTCTGGCTGGGTGGTGATCAATGTTTGTGAATGTATTCTTTCACATGCCATCAGTGCTCCAGTAATAAACGCGGAAAAGCAACAAATTAAGACAAAAAATGTAGCAGAATTCCAGAGCATGCACATGTACATGCTGCCGTTGCCTTAACAAATTGACTTGTCAGACCATGACAAGTCATTGGAGCAGAAGCGTTATGTCTGCTTAATGTATCTTAAAGGTAAACTAGTTGTGTCTTAGGTATTGGTACACCACTGTATCAGCTCGTTGTCTCCTCTCTGATTCTGCAGCAAGTTCACAGGGAACGTCTTCTACAACTACATGATGGGCATCGAGTTCAACCCGCGCGTTGGCAAGTGGTTCGACTTCAAGCTCTTCTTCAACGGCCGGCCCGGCATCGTGGCCTGGACCCTCATCAATCTGTCCTTCATGGCCAAGCAGCAGGAGCTGTACGGCCATGTCACCAACTCCATGATCCTGGTCAACGTGCTACAGGTGAGGCGGAATAATTATAATTATTATGAATAATTAAACCAGAAGTGCTGCAGAATGGGAAAACATAGAAACTGACATGTTATATGAAACTCAACTTCTTTGACCTTGATCACATGTAACCGTAGACATTTCTTCATGATATGTCTCTCTCACACATGTTGCATAACTTTATAACTTTAGTTTGTCAAAGGAAGAATATGACATACATGTGGGTCCCAGCACATTCAGGTAGCCCTGGAACCAAAATAGCAGACAAATTGGCAAGAGAAGTGAGCGAACAGGAAATTATCGAAATTTTAGACTTTCAAAATCAGAGGGCAAACGTATAGTGTTGAGAAAGATAATAGACAGCGGCAATAGTTTTGGGATGGCACAACAAAAGGACCACACACTGGATTGAGAATACAGAAGCAATGGTAGCAAGGAGGGGGATGAACAGGAAAGAGAAGTAACAACAGATTCAGACACAGTTCACTCTTCATCATGGAAAAATGTCCAGATCAGTGTCATGAAAAAGAGACAGAGGAGCGTGTTCTAGTGAGACTCTGAGGAGGGAGAGACGAGTGATGATGACACAATTCTAGAAAACATTGCGAGGAGAGGCCTGTGTAGAAAGTACATTATATTATACAGCCCTATTAAACATAAGTGTTCATCGTTACGTTTGCAGTCCTCGACTCCGAAGCTGCAGTTTGAGTTCAAAAGTGATTCCATTATTCTTTTTACTCGCTGCTCGTTGAGTCATCATAAATTGGGTTTTTATGTTTTTTGCTCTCTCGCAGGCCATTTATGTGTTGGATTTCTTCTGGAACGAGGCGTGGTACCTGAAGACCATTGATATCTGCCATGACCACTTTGGATGGTATCTGGGCTGGGGAGACTGTGTGTGGCTGCCATACCTCTACACACTGCAGGTAACACACACACATGCACAACACACGCAGGAATGATGATGTCATTAATATGAAAAGGAAGTGTGAAATGGCCCTTAGAGTGTGTAAATACCTGTATCTATAGCTGTGTGGAGAGTTCGGACTTCATCATGATGGAAAACTTCAGCTCTAATCTGTATTGAAGTTTAATCCTCCATGTCTTTATACAATACTCGATCAAATACTTGTCATCCACATGAGCATTATTGTAACTTTTGCAATTCAGTTTTGCTTTCAACTTGGAAGAATGTGAATGAAATTATAATTTGAAAAAGAATAGAAGGTGTGAGTGTGTTTAGTGTGTTGTACACTCTAACATAGACAGTAGGTATGAATAAATAAATGTGTTCTGGCTCTCCAGGGTCTGTACCTGGTGTACCACCCAGTCCAGCTGTCCAACGGCCATGCCCTGGCTGTGCTGTTGCTCGGCCTGGTCGGGTATTACATCTTCCGCTCCACCAACCACCAGAAGGACCTGTTCCGGCGCACGAAGGGGTCCTGTTCCATCTGGGGTAGGAAGCCGGCGTACATCGAGTGCGCCTACCGCTCGGCCGACGGCGGCGCCCACCGCAGCAAGCTGCTGACCTCGGGGTTCTGGGGATTGGCCCGCCACCTCAACTACACGGGCGACCTGATGGGCTCGCTGGCCTACTGCGCCGCCTGCGGCTTCGGCCACGTCCTCCCGTACTTCTACATCGTTTACATGACCATCCTGCTGGTGCACCGCTGCGTGCGTGACGAGCACCGCTGCGGCAGCAAGTACGGGAAGGACTGGAAGCGCTACACGGACGCTGTGCCTCACCGACTAATTCCTGGGGTGTTTTAGAGTGGGAGGAGGGGGGAGACGGAGAGGTAGGGTGGGAGCTGAGATTACAATAGATACAGTATTAGAGTTAACACCACATTTCATACATTCTGAAAGTTTCATGTATTTCCAGAATCAGGACGAGATCTGTTCTGTAGTGGACTGTTCTCTACGACCCCTCCGTTCAGGTTTGAGGACGTGTTGGTCTCGTGCCACTGGTCGGGGGAACTCATTTGGCAGATGCTCCTTTGCTTCTTATTAGAGGGGAGCAGCAAAGAACCTACGTGGTTGTGGGCTGGAGGATCTAATCATTCCACACCATGCTGTGACATTTCCATCGTGCATTTTGTCTGTTTCACAGTCATTTATCATGTTCCAGTTTCTCAAATCGGAGAATTTGATGTTTTCCTGTTTTATATCTTTGTACAATCATCACCTGTCAGGATTCTTTTTGGCTGCTGTTGATGAAAGACACATTTGATGATGTCACTTAGCACTCAGGTAGCCTATGACGAGGGCTGTCCATTACTCTCTGCATTCTTAGACTAAATGAGTGATTATAAATGAATGGGAGATATATTTATTATTCAATCTGTCTATAATGTTTTGTTATCGCCAGACTGAACCAAATGTGATTGTTGGCTCTGCTGACAAGACCTGCCTCATTAAAAAAGTGATGTAATCTTTGTTTAAATGTTGTCTGAATGCTGCGATTGATTCACTCAGTCCTTTTCATAACTAACTGCCGGTGAATGTTACGAGAGATTTGGGTTAAGTTTGATAATTGCTTGTCTTGTTTCCTTCATTGTGGTTGAGAGCAGCATGTTCACGTAAATCAGCCTCATTATTGACTCATAAAAACACTGAAATGTAACAGCAACAATGGTTTCTGAACAGTTTAGAGTATTTTGTTCTGAAACGTAATGTTTACAAGTTAGTTGGATCGTTGTATTTGCTTTGTGTTGAACCAACATGTTGAGTGGATCATGCCGTGTCTAAGTTCTATGCTGATAGAAATGTCCAACCATCATGTCTGTTAGTATTTCCTAATGCCAGCACTGCCTTTCTTATAGCAATAAAGTAAAAAAAAAAAATGGTTTTGTTTTGACTGCTTTTTTCTATTTACACTTTTTCTTTTAGAAATATTCACTGATGCAGTCAGAGTGGGGCAAAAAGGTTCAATTTGAGATTTTGCTATTCACCTGTGTATATATATATATATATGTATATAAAATACATAATGTACAAAAGTACATCTATTTGTGAATGTGAAGGCCGAAGCAGCTCATACGGCAGCATCAACAGTATAGAAGGGTTTTGAAAGACAACACAAGGTGAGCTGATGTTTCTAATGTTCAACACTGGGGGGCAGCAGATGACAGCTAATCCCAGGGTTCAGCTCAGTATACAGAAGAAGTTGTACTTGTATACACATCTCTACAGTTAGAGTGGGTTTACATAAAAGCATAATCGTTAGTATCGTCATGTATCGTTAGCCCATTTTAAATAGGAAACCAACAGCTTTAAACAGACTTGTAGCTCCCCTGACTAACCATTCAAAGCTATTTTTCCCTAAAAGGTTCCCGAAAAACCACTGCATTATTATGTTAATGCGCTCACTCTTTTTTTGTAGAACACTCACTGTGTTATTATTTATTTGAAGTAGTGCTGCAATCATCCACAAAATCTCAGAACACTACAAATCTAAATAGCATCTTCAGACAGCTCCCTTACATTTGACTTGCAACATTTTGACACACTACAGGCAAAAAATGTACTCTCAGTCAACTGTACAATTAGTGTACACACAGAGATTCCTGATTTGAGGAGGTTGTTAAAAACAATTAATGAAAAAATAATTTGTTTAAGACTTGACGTTGGAAGAATGTTTGTACACCAGAAAAGGAAGGGAACCCCTTGGATACACTACATTTATAATGAAAATATATATTTTGGTTTATGAAGATCATGTGATATGATCAAAAGCTCCAGAACAGCTTCTAAATTGAACTTGTGTGGGATAGTTCTCCCAACTTTCCGAGGTCAGGGATGAACCCAAGCTTTCAAAAAATCTGTAAGTCTGAACTTCTACTCGCAACGTTAATATCACAAAATCCGAAATACCCTTTTAGGTGGATCAGAGTCGGTAAAGACACCGCCACATATGATTTGACAGCTTGTGCTCAAGTGTTTTCAGTAATCCATCACCCCCGTGGGCCCATTATACCATGTGAGCACTGGCCTGCTCCCTGAACCTCCCCATCAGCGGCTCCCCTAGCACTGTAATGATACAAGTTATGGATGTAAATCAGTTATGATAATGGCAGACTCATTGATTCCCCTTGCCTTTGTTCAACGCTAATGCAATATGCACCAGGTTCATTGCATTGCATTACATGGAACCAAATCACCAATCATTCCATTCCCAAGTGAATTGATTCCCAAATTATCCCTGAAGGCGAGGAAGTGTTGGTTGAGATTGAAGGGGCTCTGCTGTGTGACGGCCGGGTTCAATCATAACCCAGTTGAAAAATAGCTGCCTTTGAAAGAAGTGGAAATCGGAAGACAGAGATGATCGCTTTGCAACGACACTAAAAGCTAGGCTATTGAATTTGCGAGCTTATGAGTGGGGATCATGCACCCTTCCATATAAATGTCCAGTGTGCACAATAACCATATTGTGGAAGGCCCCTTTTTGCAGCTGCGCATTCATCTGTTATGAGGGGCAGGTGGGGGTCAGGGAGAAAGAAATAGCGTGAGCAAAGTTGGGAGTCAGTTGAGCGAGAGAATGAGAGGCGAGGAGAGAGTGGAGGAGTATACTGAAAGCACAATGGGATATTTGGGAGTTGGTACCATTCCACAGCTACAGTTGGTTTGATTTCCCGAGAGGCCAAATTAGCTTTTATTGGAAGCTTGGGGGGTTAAGAGACTTGTGGGTGAGAGTCGTAAGACCAGGAGGAAAGGGGCAACTCAGTAGGGAGGCGATTACATGATTTGTCAGCAAAACTGCGGGCACCGACGATCCACATGTACCATAAAGTACAGCAGACCGCTACAGAGCATTCCAGGGCCTGATAATCACATTGCGGTGAGCGAGGTGAGATAGACCGTGGTTTGGTGGCAAAGGAGCAATTCTAGCCGCCATAATGTTGGTTTGTTTTGCTTGGGTTTGACGGTTAAATTTATTGAGTGTGTCTTCATTTCATTCCTTATACGTCAACAGCCTAGCAACAGAAGCAGTCACTCGTCGTCCTTTTGTTTCAAGCCAGTATTGAAACAAAAGGACGAATGGATTACTAAGACATTTCATGTGACTCTCAGAACTTTGGTAACCTTTCATATAGCACCATCAAAAGTGGATTTACTTGCTGTTTAATCTCATTCCAACCAGCTTCAGCTCAGAGCTAATTCAAAATATGTTAGCATGCAAATACGCCTATTAACTAAAGATGGTGGCAAACATTATGCCTACTGAACACTGGCATTGTCATGGTGAGTATGTTAGCTTGCTGATGTTAGCATTTTGCTCAAAGCACCACTGTGTCAAAGTGAAGCGTCAAAGTAGGCGCTCAGTCTTGTTTTCTTCTACTTCCTACTTCAACAGCTGACATCTCTGTTTCCCTCATTGTATATCTGCCAGATAACAAAAGGAGTCACTCAAGTCTCCCTTTTGTTTTTTTCTGTATTCTTCGACTGGCCTTCCTTCCTTCCTTCCTTTTTTTCTCTCCTCTGACCTCTGACCTCAAGGCCGGTCTGTCCTGTTAGCTAATGGACGGATGAGACATCCAGAATGACCATCAGACTAAACAAAAAGAGCCCAGCTAGTTTGAAGCTAAAGGTCAGGGCGTGTGTTTAACACTGGCTTTAACAGGGCAAAGACCACAAAACGAATACAGTATCTGTTCCCCCTTAATTTAGCAGCAATTTAAACTTCATGGCTCCAGACGAAAAGCATCTTTCTTTAGCCTGAAACTAGACAACACATCCCATCTAAACTCTTAAAAAACCCTCTATTGTGCTCCTCCAGATGCATTGAAACAGGTCTTGAATTGAGAAAAAGGTTCCGCCAAAATAAGCTGACAGAATCCCACACCTACATTTTAGCCTTGACTCCTTGTAAGTCACAGAGAGAGTTGAATTAAAAAGGGATTAGGAGCAGGGAAAGAATTAGAGGGATTAAAAAGGATTCCCAGGCTGCACCACCAATCCATAGCTGATGTGGTAAAAATGATTGGTTGTAGATGCTACATCTCATATTAACAAGGCTTGTGGGGCGTAGAGGCACTCTCTTCACACATCAGCGGCCACACCAGCAGGAGCTCGGCCACCAAATCGCTCATATTTTACATGTTTGGAGTGTGGGAGTCAAGGGCCGGACTTCCTTCTATTTCCTCTGCGTTGATAGTCAGACTCCACTTGAGAGCAGCTTGAATCCCGCATTGCTAACGCTGAGCCAAATTGAGCTTGACAGAGGGGAGCCGCTGTGGCTATAGTTACACTTATGCACTGTTTACAGGATTAAAGATGAGGCTGACAGATCAGCAGCATTCAGGTTTACCCCCTGAAAACAAAACCGGAGGCCAGAATGAGTAATTTACTTCCACTGAACTCACACACCATGAACTGTGCAAGTGATTTTGTTTGACACGTGCGGTTGCTTTGGGGACGGGCAGACATGCGTCCGAGGGTGTGAGGGTGTGTTTGGCGGAATACTCCAGGGTGATAGCCAGTTGTCCAGAGGGTAGAGAGGAAGGTAAGGGATATTAGTTGGCATTGGACTCCAGAGATGAAGCTGCCAAACTGGGCAGAGCCTCAACACCAAGGACCTCCTCTGACTTGATTTGCCCAGCCACACCAGGCCTCGCCCTACACCACAATTTAGGATATTAGCTGGCCTGGCATTCGATGGTAATGACAGCCGCTGACAGAAACTTGGGAGTCAGATGGATGGACGTCCCAGTTATCCAAGACTCCAAAGCCTTCTTTTAAGCGGAATTCGGGCACAGCATGCTTAGAAAGTAGCGAAGGTTTGTCTTGTCATTTCAGACAATTGCTGAAATACAAAAAGAGATCAAATGTGCGTTTTGCTTTCCATTCTCCCGTGACACACAGGCAGTTTGAAAATGCAATTTACCACTTATAAATATTTGTAATTTTTCATTTCTGACAGAGAGTAGACAACAGCAGCTTCTCATTTCCAGCTAGCGACGATCGATATACAACTGTGGCTGTCAGATTTGATCAGAGATAGCTAAATAATCTAACATGAGCTGGTTGAAAACTATGCACTTGATGGCTACATAATGTGGTATTGTGCCAAAATACTGAGGCTGGAGCTGCGTGTTCCAGGCAAAAAGTCACCCTCACCAGTTTATGGTTTATACTGTAGAGAAGACGTGGAAATCAATACAGAACATTGCTCTTGTAAAGCAGCATAGAGCTCGTTCATCTTAGTATGATGATGATGATGATGATGATTCACATTTAGCAGATAAAACAAAAGAGAAAAGGGTTTTTACAACTAACTTAACAGAATGTGGCTAGGGTTGCTGGTCTAAGCTTTCGCAAATCCAAGAAAAAAACAGGACAGAGCGACTGATGTCAGCCCCCGACTTACGGTTACCAAAGAAACATCCATCTCTGTGTTTGGTTTTGAGTACAGGCTTCCCATCAGCACATTTCAATTGTTTGTATGCTACTTGTTTTGTAGAGTCACCATCATTAACATACGTCAGCCTCTTAAATTGCTCATCAGTTTGGAGCGGTGTTTGTGAAGTGGATTAATAAATGAGAAACCACCAAGACAAACAAAAACCATTTCTATGGAAGAAGGGGATCAAAGCTGTGATAGCTGTTGAGGCAACTTGACGCGCAAGACACAGCTGTGCAGCCGTCCCTGACCTCTATCCCGGGACAGTTTTCATCGCAAGTAAATAAGACGAGTACGTCAAAATGTCATGGCGTCCTTATAGCGTCCGACATCTCTTAGCAGATTACTGTGTGTTGAAGCGTTGCTGAACGAGCCTTACACGTCTCCTTTATCAATTAGCTGACTGGTCTGCACTGGGTCTGATGATAATTGAAGCGGCAGCAGCGCCTCACACAACCAC